GATTTAAGTCTCCCTTTCGCGCGAAACTTTTGCCACAATCTTTGTCAACGCATTTGAATGGCTTTTCGCCCGTATGTATGACTTTGTGTCGATTGAGGTTTGATTTCTGAGTGAATCGTTTGCCACAATTGGTTTCACGACAGACAAATGGTTTCTCATCACACCTATCGGTGCCCATACGACTACTACAGGCTATGGCTATTGGATGCAAAGTATCGCTCTCGTCCGGACCCCTCAGTACTTGTGATGTTTCCTGGCTTTCCGAGTGATGGACACTATCAGCGACTAAAACCTCCCGGCGCTCAACTATGTTATCATTCAATGGGTTGTTATTGCCACTAATACGACACAATTTGAGGCGATTTATTACATTGTTGTCATCTAATTCATTATCACTAATGAATTGAATCTCTATTTGACACAACTTTTTATTAAAAGCCTTTAGTTTTGATAATAAATTTAATGTGCACTTCGAGTTATTGTTTATTGGATTCATTTTTGGTTCAATTCTTATATATTTTCTTCAACTTTGAACTTTCTTGCTAATTATTTTCACTCATTTTAATATAACTAATATTGCACTAATAAATATAGTATTGTTTCACTTTTAATTGCACTTAATTACATATATTATAATAAATAACAATCAATATTAATAATTGTAATAAAATAACATAACAGTGAGCACATACGGTACTTATAATATCACGGTACTCATACGGTACTTTTTGGGCACGTATTGGTATAGATCTGGTAAAACCAGTTTTTCATTACAACAAACTTTTTTCTTATGTTATCCACTTTAAGAACTAAATGTCAAATACTGTATTCATGATACTTTGATTCATTTTAGTATAATACAGACTATGGAAAAATAGTTAAACTCAATTAATTATTATGTAATCAACTGATAAATTACAAATTAAATAAATTAAATTAAATACTTTTATTTCATCACTTATTTAACATCAAATTGATTGCAATGTGAATTTATGACATTTTATGTAATATACGATATGATATTATGAAATTTATATTAGAGTGAGTATAATAACGATTATTAACCGTTTATTACCATAACAATTCTGAAAATGTTATCTAACTGTTATTGCCTTAAAAAGGGAGAGAGAGAGAGAGAGCTATTTTGGTTGACAAGTCATTGCCATCTCATTAACAACCAAATAATGATGGGATGCTGTGTTCACTTATATTTCCATTTGATCGCACTTCAACTCACTCTCTCACACAAACAGTTGTAAATTATAGTCAATTGTATTCATTAAGAAAATTTTATTAGAAATAAGATTATATTAATTTATTACAAAACTAATTAAAAGTATATGATTTATATTACATCAGAATATTTTTTAAATACAACTAAAATAACTTAAATGATAAAAATAAATGCAAAATAATAAGTATTATTCAGTCGACAGTCATAAACGGGTCGCACGGCTGTTGGACAGACGTGTCATTCGTGTCCACTACTTGTGCTTCAGAAGGAGTGTCACATTCGCCACCATTTGTTTCCATCGATTCATTCAAATTAAGTTCCGAAGTATTAGTTCCCAAAGCGTCCATATCTGACTCCTGGCTCTCAGTAGTCGCCACTTCCGGTCCATTAGTGTCCGATAATAACAACTCTTCGGTTGTCATTCGGCGTCGCTTTTGCGGCGGACTCTGACTCTCCGGGCACGTCCTAAAGCTCTCGGCGTCGGAGTCGTTGACCGCAATGTTGTCTTCGTTGACATCATCGATGGGCTCGAAGTCCTGCTCGAAGGCCGAGTCGGCGCTCAGCTGTTGACTCCTGGACTCAATCTTCTTGGCGATGGCCGCCAATCGCTTCTTCACTGTCTTGGACTTCGAGTTCTCGAACTTCGCGGCAATCTTCTGGATATTCTCGTCGAACGCCTTTATCTCTCGGGCGCTCATTGCCATCAGATTCAAGTGATTCACAGCCA